TGCAATCAGTCTTATTATTCCAACAAGACAGAGCTGCTCTACACTGGTCTTCTCAATTTTCGAAAACTTCTGAATATGCGTTTTTCTAGGACATGGATGGGCTGTGACGCACTCATTTCTTTGCTTCCAGGCTTACCTGATAGCCACCCTCTTTGAATTTTTCTTCAAGACTTATGTCATCATCGTCATTAGCAGTAAGTCTATCAAACTACTGTTCCAAACATTGCATCAAGAATTATGTCTACCAAGCCCTTGTTTCAAGAATTACTTCTAGAGTTATGTGTACCATAGCCCTGTTTCAAGAATTATGTGTCAAACCCCAGTTTCAAGAACTACATCACGAACTGGTTGTGCCAAACTCCTATTTGAAGAATTCCATTAGGAACTATGTCTAACAAAACTCGGTTTCAAGAATTACATATGCCAAATCCTTGTTTCAAGAATCGCATCAAGAAATAGGTCTGCCAAAACTCTGTTTGAGAATTTAAGTCAAGAATTACGTCTACCAAACTCCTGTTTTATGGTTTTATTTATTTTTGCTAATAGTTACTTTAATTTCTGATCCTTCCCTCTTTTCTCTTCTTCCCCTCGCGTTTCCTTGCCAGGATATAACTGAGTTTCGGTAAACGAGAGTATTTAAACTGTTGGAGCGAGAAGATTAGAGAGAGCGTGATTTCGCTATTGTGAACACATGCTTCTGTTTTCTTCCAACTGTTAACCTTAATATCGAATACGCATTCTTGCAGCCGAGTTATTATTCTGCCGGTGTTGGTTCTGAGTCAAACTGTTAACTTAAATTGAATTGTGTAGTCTTGTACCAGTAATTACCTTTAAATTTAGATGATACCTTAAGTTCATCACCACAAGTACTTGACGTCTTTGTAAGCACGTAAGTCCCTGCCATCTGCAAACTAAAAAAGTATGTTGAATAAAAGGTCTTTTACACCCTTCTCTTGTATCTCGAGTCCTTGAGAGAAGTTGCAAGATAGATATTTTAAGTGGATCTAGTTACATTTTATAATAACTGAATGAATTGGATTAGACTAGATAGACAAGATCTTATACTATTTCAAGAAATACACCAAGAAGAACGTCTGCGAAACCCCTGATTCAAGAATTACGTCTGTCAAATCCTTGCTTGAAGAACTACATCAAGAATTATGTCTAGCAAAACTTTATACCAAATCTTCCTACACTGCTTAGAACAAACTGAAGAGAGACTATATGTTGCTATTCTACAAAGTGCAGAAAAATAATATTGAGTGGTTAGCCTGAGGCAAAGAATGGAATTCATGCTGAGCTGCAGTAATGCAGCTCCCCTATCAATCGGGAGGTTCGGAATTCAAATTCCGGAGAAGGCATCACTTAATTTTCCCTGTCTCCAGACTCCAAAAATGCTAAAAGACTATAAGTGACGTCCGAACTAAAATGTATTGAACGATAATATGTCACCACCTGGATCTCCTTCTCCCCAGTAACGCTTTAAATGTGGAAGAATGTAAGAAATTTTCTCCTTCCTTGCCACTTGCTTTTGCTGTGTAATTGAAAATAGTTCGGCTAGCATTCGGGAGGTTAGGAGGTGGAATCCCAGTGAGGGTATCGTTGATTATTGTGATCATAAGTTTAGAATGTTTATATTTTTATTTGTATTCCTTAATCTGTTTTGCGGAGAATAATTTTCAAAGCCTGCTGCTATGGGTTCATAGATTTCAAAAATAAATGGATAGATAAACAAATAAAATGGTTCGATTTAACTGCGTATGTCATACTATACCTGAAAATATTAGTTTTGAAATTACATATGGTAGTCGTCTACAACTTTTTTTTCTCAAAACTAGTATTTTATAAAAGGTTTACCACTCACCTTATCTAAGGATTTCCTATTCTAGACTTAGCAACAAAAAAGGAATTTAAAGCACTATGATTGGGGTTGCTGGTTACCAGCATATATCCAAACATAGTACAACTATGCAAGAATCGGCGCGCTTATCCGTCTCATTAATGAGATATCAACGTTTAAGTTATTAAAAGCGAATATAATTTTCTGGTATTAATTTATTAAACATTTAATACCACAAAAAATAAAATAAAATAAATTTTAAATAATTGTATTTTAAAAGTATAATTTGGTACGTATATATACCATCAACATACCTTACTTTGAGTCTTATTTTGTGTATTAATAGTTAAACAGCAACAGAAGCGTTAACTCGCCAACCAAGAGACATAACTTCTTAACGCCAGCCGTTAGGGATGAAGGCAAGCAAAAGCTCAGTTACTTTCAGTGCCATAAACCGTATTTCAGCGAGATGTTTAACAACGCTGAAAACATGTGACAGAGGACGCAGACCCCTCGCGGCTAACATTGGTAAACAGGTGTTGCTCCGAAGAACTGGCATGTTCCTTGCGTCCACAAGACGCCTCATCGGAAGTTCATTTTAAATATTTTTTGGCTACACTGCCAAACAAGGGCTGCTGATTTATTTACATCTGGAGATTGGAAGAACAATTTAATAATACTGACGTCACTTTTGAACAGAAATTATTCATATATATGCACCAACACTTATAAATACATTAAGCACATATAAACACATACATCGCAATTAGACTCATAGCACGCAGCATGTAAAGGAATGCACTTATTGAAGCACTTGTTTAAAGTACATAAACACTTATAAACACATAAATCTGATATTCTCACATGAAACGTGTATAAACAGAACAATTCAATGCTGTTGTATGACACGGTGCAGAATGATAAGGTATAATATTTACAAAATACTGATAGCGTTAGTTTATACAGGTGAAGGCAGAATAAACTATCACACAGGAATACATTCATAAACATGCACATAAAACACGACAAGCGCAGTGAAACTGAAATGCTGACTTGAAACTAAATAATGCTGCATTTAGATATTAAAGTCGCAGTTAGAAGTGAGATAGGATTGGGACACTGAGGTTCCACGCCCTCCACTATCTAGGGCCAGCAGCTCCTTGGAATCCCAGAAAAACACTTGAGTATCTGAATATATTAACCTATAGACATTAATTATATAAGTACTTGAGTACATTTTTAATGATTTATATATATACATTAATTTTTGGATACATGAAATACTTGAGTGCTATAGTTTACATTGAATACATAAGTATACTAATTTCTGAAAGCATTCATTACTTGCATACAATAATTTAACACGTGAATACATAAACTCATATAAACTTGAATACTTAAACGTTATTTCTTCAATACATTAATTAATTAATTATTATATTACTGATGCAATTTACTGGCACTGTCACTGGTGGCGGTGTGTTTCATACATTTTCTCATAGAAACACTGCAGATATCCTCTGTGAAGAAGACTGATAGAAATCTTACTTAAATCGTGGTGACAATATCCAGTTCTGATGATATTAGCAAGTTGTTCGGAAACTTCTCAACTGAAGATTCTCTGAGTGATGGATAGGCCGTGATGAACCTATCTTCTCTAGGCTCGACTCATGTCCCCTTCACGGGTGTTTTTTCTTCAAGAATTATGTTATGAGCATAATGATTACTTAATCTTTGAACGATTTCTTGAAAAAATTCTTCTTTCAAGAATCATGTTTACCAAAGCCCTGTTCCAAGAATTGCATGAAACATTATGCCTAATCTACTATTTTACGAATATTCCAGAACTATCCAAGAGATGTACTAGGAATGTTTCTAGAAAGTTAGGGTATGAAATGAAAACAAGTATGGTTCCTTGTCTATGTCTAAATATTTCCTTTGGGCTTTCATACAAGTAAGCCTTACAGAGCACTGTTTTTTCAAGGCTTCGTGCTGTTTTTAAAAATATACAACTATTGACAAGCGGGGTTGCAACGTTTTATCTAACAGCTGTGTAGGAACCTTGTGAATAGGTAAGCGAATATTCGATTTTGTTCAGAAACTGATACGTAAAACTCAGGAAGGGTTAATTACCCTTCCTTAGTTTCTAATTAAGAATTTCACAGATGGTCTCTTTCTCTGGACATACAGAAAAGCCACCACTTGGGCTTGAACTCAAAGTAATAAGAAATGAAACTTAAGTAAAGCTTAAAGATATAGCCGAAGCTAACAAGAATTTCTAAGTAGTTCGCCCCTAAATATCAATTAAGCTGACGAAGTTATCAAGGGCCTGAGATACGGACGAGCGTAATAATAGGTTAGAGAGAGTGTAGCCAAAAGGCTAACGGGCGTTAGTCAAAATCTCTGGCTCTCTAACGAAGTCAGTGGAACTTCGACTTAAATACCGCTCTTACTCATTTGCATTAACCGCGATTCTAAAAACATATCCTGGTAGGAAATTGTATGCTGAAACTAGGAGCGATAAGAAAGTAGCTTTAACTAAAGATAACTGTTAAAAACTTAGGTAAACCTTACAGACAATGTAAGAGAACATTAATGGGAAATGCGCCTGGAATATTTTTGGCATATTTTTCTAGACGATAGAAGAATATTCCTTCTTGAAATATATTTAGAACATTCTAGGACTGTGCCGCGAAAATCTTAAACTACCTCCTCGGAATATTCCAAATCACTTCGAATACTCTCAGAATATTGATATGGATTGAAAAATGGAATATTCATGGAAAATTCGGATGTGCGTAAGGCAAAGGTGTAAACATTGCAAGTATTTTATTTTATTTGTTACCTACTAAAACACTGTGATGTTTTAATTTTGTTAAATTTTTTATTAAAATGTAATAAAACATTATAATAATAATATACTTAATGTAATGAAACATTTGTTGGCATTTTTGTCATAATGTCAGAAATGGTGTCAGCTTTAGTTTTAACGCCTTAAATTCTACACAGTAAATGTAAAGAAAATTAAATGAGATTTAGAACATTTTCGAAAACAGTTATGTAATGCTTGGACTATGATTGTTTGTAATACTACTTGAACTTTGTCCACGCTTTCGCATTCTAATTTTCTTGCCGTAAAAGATATCTTCTTGTTTTGCAGCTGTGTGCGGAGAACATGAAGAAGAAACGGATTGCATAAGCCCGTGCAATAATTGCGCAGCGAACTGCTATTCTTGTCCGTTCCTGTCGTGTCACGAAGGCTGCGATTGCATAGATGGTTACAAAAGACACGACAATGGAACCTGCATCCATGCAGCCATGTGCCCACCATGTATGTTTATTTGAAATCAATGCTTTCTTCAACAACTCAACTTTCACTTAATACTTTCTACGCTATTTAAAAATTAGTTAGTTCTGTATTTTATGTTTGATATGCACTTTTAAAATTTGTGCAAATTATAAATTAAGAATCAAAAACCTGATCTCTGGAGAAACTCTTTCGTTGGATGATTTTGTATTTTGGGGTACTTACTGCAATTTGCAATTTTTTTTTTTTTTTGGTGGCTGGGGCAACAGACAATGAATGAAGCGAATGAAACACGAAAGGAAAATTTCTTATTCACGGTTTTTTCACTTATATTAGTTTAATTACCACTAAATAAAAGCAATCCTATTATTTTTAAATTTTATAACTTCTGTTTTTGCCACTTTCTACCATAATCTGATAAGTTTAAAGTACGAGGGAAGAAGTCATAAGTAAATCACAAATTGGCATTGATATACTGTATTTTTCACCACAGCCGTTTATTTTAGGTTTTGGAAATTTAAAAATATTCACACTATTCTCCTCTTCCTCTACTGTACGTGCATTTTTTCTCTGAGGGCTAGTTTATTGGTAAATTTTAATGCCTTGATTAGTTTGATTTTTATTCAGTATTATTTCTATATGTATTGGCATTCTTTTTTTTCAGCATTTCATACATTTTGTTTTTCCTTGCATTTATGATTGGAAAGTTATTTTATGGAGATTCTTCGTCAAGCTAGCAAGACGTGATAAATGTTCTGACACGTAAGAAACTTTCCAAACATGTGATTTCCCTTACTTCTGTTATTTACGTTTCATTCCATCTCAGTTCAGTCATGTCAACTACTGATGTGTTTGATCTTTTGAAATTCGAGCTCAGCTCTCAGCTTTCTCCTTAGTTCTTCCGATTTTCCTCTAGGCAACTGCAATCAAGACCCATTCATATTAGGTGTCACTAGTTATCATCAAATATCTGCTGAATATCAATCAGGTATTGTAATGCTAATATTACTATGCACTCTTCTTGGAATGTAGGGTTTTTTTTTAAAGAAATACTATTGTGATAGTTACCAGTTCATTTATTATGTTCTTACTGTAAGCGCATTCTTCTTAAATTAAATGACTCGCATAATTTTCTCCTCAATTTAAAAAAAGAGGGAAATTTCGCTAGGAAACACTGTGTTTGAAAATAGCAAAATTGTCCAAATTCATGATATTCGTTTTGCTGGTTATTAAGTACCACTTGCACTTCAGCTTGAAAATGCTAATGGAACTCGGTGAATGTACAAAAGAAGATTAACTTGCTGTTATCCGTTTCTTTTTGAAGGGAGGAAGGGACAAAATGACTTCATGCAAATAATATTTGTAATGTTTTCTGTTCATGGAAAGAGGTTTTTATCGCTTAAAGCATAAGTAGGTCGAAAAATATTTCAAGACCGCTCAAACGTTTGCGATAAAAACTGAGCTAGGTTCAGACAAAGTGAAGCAAACTCAACTATGCAGAGGGAGGAGGAACTGATTTGAGAAATGTACTGTGCACTATAACAGTGATCTTCAGTGCCAAACGCACGATTTAAAGTGCGTTTGGCACTGAACGTTTTTTCTTTTTATTGTTTTTAACAAAATTTTTTCAATGAAATAAAAAATATAATAATTAAATCTTAAATTTGGCTTACTAAATATTTATCAGAACTTTTATAAAAAACAATAATAATAACTCAAAAAGAAAGGAATCTAATTTATATCTTTATATATATGAAAAATAATTTTGGTATCTGCAAGACATTTTTGTTGGTTACACTTTGTAATTCAAACATATTGATATCTAAACATAAAATTTTCGGGCTGATATTCATTTCCAATAATTTCAATATTCCTAATTAACCATTATATATTTTAAATTAAATTTAAATAGAAATAAACAATCTATGAAAACCTTCCCAGTTCCAGAGAAAGCTTTCTAAGCGGAACAAAACTTGAGTTTAAGTAATGACAACTTAGCCTCTCTTTTTATTCCTTAAATTTTTCTTTGCGACATAAATAGAAATATATATGTTTGTATGTTTATAATTTAAACTTATTTATTTCTCAGTACAGCATTACACTTGATGATGTTTCGATACCGATAAAGTTTGTAGCGTTCACGGACTGCAGATGCAGTCATCGGTCAGTTAGTTCGTTTCCTTATTAATTTTCAACCGTTAAAGAAAGTTGTTCGTATATATATGCATTCCCAAATAAGGCGGTTATGTTTTATGCACATACGGGTGATAATAATATAATACAATATCTCTCACAATGTCTTTTAATGAAAATTTCCCACACTATCTTTTGCAAGTAAATTATTGACTGTGTCTATTAGCTTCATTTATTAGTAAAACACTTTTTTAAAGGTTTCTATAAATGGAAAATTAAAAAATAATTTCACTAACAATATAAATTGTTTTGAATATCATACAAAACTCTAAACGCTTTCAATTTAACCTTCAGTCTCTTAATTTTCAATTAATTCACTCATTGCTTGAAAACTTTCTGATATTTTTTTCAGATCCTTCAGATAACGAAGCTAATGCTTTAGAAATTTATTTTTCATACAAACCATTACAAAGATAGTAAATGTTTTCACGATTTGTAAAATAAGAAGCTCTAATATAATTTAATGTTTCTCCCATTTAATTAGAATCATTTTCTAGAAAAGTATAGTTCCTATAAAATTTTTCTCAGAGTTCCTTCTAATTTCTGATTTTCGAAAAAATAAAATATCTTAGGTTCAATTTCAAAAATATCTTAAGTTTAATTTGAAATTTTGCCATAACTTCATCTGATAGATCTTGTTATCTAGAAATACACTTCCAATTGACCTTTTCAATAAATTCTTCTGTTAACATCTGATATCTAGAAATACTTTTTCAATCAACCTTATCTTTAAAATTTTCAATAAATTCTTTTTTTAACGTCTATTTGTTCTATTTTTAACGTAAAATTTTCAATAAATTCTTTTGTTTTATATCTATATCTATATATATATACATACAAATGGCTTAAAAGTCCTTCACCGAGCTTTATTTTCGTAATCGTTGGTCGTAGTCATATACTTCGACTTACAGATGCGTTTTAAATGACGAAAATATTCATGTTTTAGTTACGCCAAATTAAAAAATATAATTTTCGATAAATAAAGAAATCTAACTACATGGGATAGTGGGTAGGGACTCTGACTACCGTACCGAAAGATCCGAGTTAGAATTCCAAAGAAATCATGGATGTTTGTAAATATGTAGTGACTTTGCGTTATGGGGGCACTCCAAATATAGGACGAGCCGAAAGTCCTCTGATGTGGATCGGTCTTAGGGAAGAGGGGGGAGAGCCTCGGACCCAACCCCTAGATTGCTTTCCTTCGAAACCTGGGGTGGAACTTGGCAAAATCTCACTGTCATCAATATGGTGCCCAAGGTTCTTGCCAGCGACAGGTTTAATCTTGTATCCTTTACCGCAATGAATTTCGTGGGCTTGTTCTGATGTCATACGAGCGAGATTAGTCACACCAGCAACAATAAATATCTACCAATATGTAATATTGGTTTATTGTTGCTACAAAAAAATATTTAATAGGCCGTACAAGGAAATCATGTGATTATTATTATTAATATAAGGGCACAGCCCCGATCCTCCTAGCCAGGACAAGCCGGCCGTATGATCAAAGAATGGGCCAAAAAAAAAAAAAAAAAAAAAAAAAAAAAAAAACAAATATAAGAAAACAAAATCTGATGTGTACACCACATGACTTCCTTGTACGGAATATTAAATTACACGAATTTTTTTTTGCATTTCAGTTAAACTTATTAAACTGAATTAAATTTATTTTGTCGATAGCGCATAAACAACAATAGAATAATTGCTCTCTTTAAAATTCACTATATTTGTTTACCAAAACGACACTCTGGCCCTAGGTTCACTTAACAGCGTTACATTTCCTTCATTCTTTAACTCAGAATGCACAAAATTTATATCATCTTAAGAATTATCTAATCGTTGTCACATATTCCATTCAAGTACTATAATAAATCTAAAACGATATATGGAAGAAATTAAGCAAACAACAATCACAACAACAACAACAACAAACAAACAAACAAACAAACAAAAACAGTTTTTAACAAACGATTTAGTATTTCTCATTCATTTAATTTAGTTTTCACTTCATGACAAGGCAAAAATACATAAAAACTCAAAATATCTGTATTGAAAATTATGAAGTAAATCTTAAACACTTATTTCCTCGAATAAATTCCAGAATGGATTAAGTATGATTTAATTCGCAATAATAAAAGAAGGCTTTATCTTTGTTTTTGCGAAGCTTACTTTTTCTAGATTGACAACAAATCTACTATTCTGCTGTTTCAAATGTAAACAAACATTGCCGCCATTGAAAAAATAATTAGGCTTAGCGGCACTTATATAACTTTTAAATTGTCAATAATTCTAAAATTATTGCATGCAGATTTACTAAAGGCATAAAAACTTTAACCAGAAGATAAGAACAACATAATTCAATCATTTTTAAAACAAGAAGTGCACAACTTACAAACATATAAGAATAAAGAAACTGAGATTACTGAGCCGAGTAACAGAGTGGATATATATATATATATAATTTACTTAGTAAAAATATTGATTAATTGATTACATTATCTCCTAAGTTTAATTATAGTAGGATTATCTTAAAAGAGTGAATCCATACTAGTAAGTTATATTTTGAAGTAACTTGAAAGTAAAATGTTAAAAATGTTTTAACGGGGCCTGGAATTAAATCATGAATAACAAAATTTCAATTGTAAAAGGAATAAATCAAAGGCAAGAATTAAATTAAATGCATGTATATATACTTTTGATACATGTATTTATATACTTTTGATGCAGCCGATTGCAACCAAAATATGAGGTGCACATCTGCATGCTATAGCAACCCTATATACAAAATTTCAACGTTCTGAGGCTACTCGTTTTTGAGTTATGCAAGATACGTA